ATAGACTATGTATTATACCGATGAAATGCCTGAATTGCGCCGGCCATCATGAGGCCTCCTGTCCTGGCTGTCCAGCCCGGCCCTTTCGCGCTAATGGGGTCTTTGTTCGGCCAGATCAAGAAAGAATGCGTTAAATACGCCAGGAAGCACAAAAAGCCTGGCTTCCACTTAATCCTCCTCCTCCACATAGTGACCCCCTCATTGGGATTCCATCCTCACATCCTCTCTGTTAGTGGGCTCGGCATCTAGGTTCACTCCTCTAGGTACCCTTGATAAATCACTGTGAGGAACCAAAACTCTGGTGGAAGAAAGCAGTAAATAACAGTTCTCTGATTCTTACAATCAACATCGATAGACCTAGCCCTTCTCACGAGGGTACCTTCACCTTTTGGCAATGAATCGGGCTGACGAAGATTTCTACGATGAGTTCAATGGATCAACTAAATCTATTTCTTAAGGAACAATTTTTGCGCGGAGCCACTGTTGGACGGGAACATGGTTTTTCTTTGCCGACTTAGCCTGACCTTTTTTGAAATTTCCTTGTAAATCACGCTTTCTGTGGGGGAATTTTCAAGCAAATCATAGAAATATATGTAAAATTTCTGGCTGAGGAAAATTTCATACACTTAGATCGGATATCAGAGTAGCGAATAGCTGGTCGGGCTCTTTTGTAGTTTCTGGGTGCTTTAGGAACTGAGCTGTCCAGATTGTCACAATGATCACGACGTGGAATTATATCAAACTTAAACTCGCTTGCGCCTCCGAGATGAGGATGGGCCCCATAGTCATACACAGTCGAGCCACCACCAACTGGGCCTAGCCCGTAACACTAAGTACCGCCTCCTCGTAGATACCTCTATCTTCTTCATGAACTCCAAAGACACTTCAGTTCTAATGATTTTGTTTCAAATTGAGAACAAATTCACTCTATTCTGATTGAGCTTCTCCTTCATGATACTAAATAGCTGCAGTGGATTCCTGGGAGTGTGCTTTACCCCACAACTACACTTATCACAAAGATTCTTTCCAATACTGTTGAAGTGTTATTTGATATAGCCATGCCATCGTTTCCGCTGGTGGAATGCTGAGTTTATTTCTTTCGTAGTTCCTCGTCCAACCCAGGCTTTACTCCTTGTATCCCAGTTGCACAAACTGGGGTATGCATGAATGGATATTTCTTCGTGATAGTCACAAACCTAGCACTAATGAAGCGTGGCAGAGAAAGCTAGTCCCACCCCGACGACTATATACGACGATAACTCAGTTTGACGTTTAGGTGTTGGAAATTATCAAGGATTTCTAGGAGAAAATATCTCGATGAACAAGTAAACAATTTCGGACAAGATTTTATTGATAGTTGGATAGGATATCAAAATCTCTTCTCAACGTGAATTAGTAATATGTAACATTCCGTTAGCTTAATTTAATATTTGAAAATAAGTCTATCTTTAAATACAGATTCTCATTGTGAAGGGACTTCACATTTGTTGTTCACAATTATGGGTCCAAAAATGAATTTATATTTTATCTAAAATGAAGAATAATTTCGGCGCGCGCGCAAGATGTTTTCTTCCAATCGAGCGCGTTTTCACGTGACACTAGCGCGCATTTGTTCATAGACTGAGCCGGACAGTTCCGGATCCACATACAAGGCTACAGCCTGTAACATTTAAGGCTTTAGTGATCCCGAACTCCCAATGATCTGGCAACAACTAGCCACTCGGTTATCGCAAAGAAGCATTTTATAGCCACTGTATTTCGGATGCCACTGTACCTAATTTCGCCCAGCTAAGCTTATCATTATTAATTCATGGTATTGCCCTGTCTAAGTCCGACTATATAGGACATGAAGGTCCTCTCTATCTACAAGCCAAGGATACCTATACCAGTAGTATGTCCCTTCCTATGCCTCCCATACAGCTCCCCTCAAACTGTACCGCCCCTCACAAGTCCTCATTCGATCACTCACTAAGAGGAGCCCTCTGCCCTTCAATATCTCCCCTCTCCAGCTAACGAAACGATCGCCATTTGAGGGTGTATGGCAGCCGGGAAAAATCGCAAAAACCACTGGGTGCGGAACTCTCCCAATACCGAGATTAGGACTAAATCCTAGGACAAAGTGATCATTCTGTAGCGTTCGAAGAGGCCTACCAGCTGGGCGCTGTAGACTTGTGGGTACCTCGGAGAATTCACTCTCTACCTTTCTAGCCTCCTTCCAACTCCTTCCCGAAGGTCGTGCTGAAATGTCAGAAAAGTCTTGACAGAGCGTGATTGCTGTATGGTAGCTTAGCCAAACTTCTTTTGTACCGTCCAGGGCCCTAGGTGTTGTTAAGGTAAAAGATTACGGAATTTTACTGGCAGAAGCTTTACGGATGATTATCGATAAATCAATTTGAGTTGCTGATATTCTTGGGTATTCAGATGTACAAGGATTTAGGATGTAGAAAGCGCTACTCGTGTACATATCTGAGGTAGCTAGACTCTCGCCTTATTTTTCCAAGACAATATCGCGGAATACTCTAGTACCCTCCATCTGGTAGTATAGTCTAGAGAAACTTTCCATACAGTGCTTCATTGTTCCTCTACTCATCATGGAAACACTTGGACAGTTATTCCTTCACCCTTAGTGATCGTCACCCTTGTGCATCTTAATCCTGGCCATCACCAGCACAAAACTGGGGAATGTTGTTGACTCATCGACAATTAAAGCCCTCCTGGCTAATTAGCCGAAATCTTGGTCTTAGCGCCCACAAAAAATCCAAAGTTGAAAACTCCTCGAAAATGTCAGTCCGAGCATTGTCTTCAGAGACTTGTTCCCCCTCTCGCTCCACATCTCAGCCTCCTGTCCTCCCTCAAGATGTATAACCCCATTAGAGCATCAGTCCCCCATAAGCCAAGGTACAGGCCGTTTATTTTTCGACTTGATTTCCTCCTTACAGGTATAAATAGCGTCGTAAATATGTAGTGAGAGATGGCTGGAAATCAATGGGGCAAGCTCCTGTTTGCAACTGGGGTGACGCCTTTATCGGTCGTTGAGGCAAGATAATGCGTGGTTAGAAAGAGGTTGAGGACTCAGATGAGAATGACAAGAGAGGCATTGTCGATAATTCGTCAAATAGAGATATGCTTGAGATTACTTTCGATTTCGATTCGGATGCGATCCTTCTTGGCTATCCCAGATATGCATAGCAGACTGAGCGATTACACTGGCACCACTGGGAGGTGAAGAATTCGTCTTTGCCGGCATGGTAGATAGTCTTGAATCATCAATTCGTGGGTCAACTTCTTTGGCGTTGCGAGATTTGATTGAACTTGGCAATGTAAGAATATCGCACTCACAGGTTCGTGAAGACACCACGTACAGGTGTCCAGTCTTTGCCCTCCGTGGTTTAACCTTGAGTTGCATCTAAAAAAAGAAGTCTGAGTGTGATTGTTTTAAACACCAGAAATTTAATTTTTACGCCAACCATGCGTATTCCTCAAACACCAGAATAAGCCCTCTTTTTTTTGCATTAGATTTTAATTGCGTATGCAGCTATCTAGCTATGACACAATATCAGAGAAAAGTACATAATAGATGATTCGTCGTAAAGGAAGAGCACTCACGCCTCGGATTTCATTTGCAAGTGCCACTGCGAAGTTATGGTGGTTTTTTTCTTCACCCTAAGTCAACCCTCATCCGTGAATACCCACCCAGGGGAACGTCTCCAAAACCCTGGGTTATCCAGGCATGCCTCCATCATCCATTCACATTTCTCCGCGCAAAATATGGTCTTAGGCGTTTCCTTCCCAAGTGGATTAGGTGCCCAAGCTACTCAAACTATACCGGAGAACACCACCATGAGACGGATCACAACACCTCCCATCGTTTGCTTGTTTTTACAGTGTCAACTGTACTCTCGCAAGCGAGGTCTTGGCGCGCACAAAGCTCGATTCGTAAAACTCTTGCCAAAATTCGGAATTTCACGCCCGTCGAAGTTACATCCTTCCTTCGCATCGTCTTGTAAAATTGACCTGATTCCTCTCGCGTACATCCCAAAGAAATGTCTCCCAGAATTGTGCGCCACGCTTGGCTTCCTCCGCCGGGTGTAAATATCGGCGTGGGCGTGTTTTTGGTGGTCAATTGAGGCCAGAAAAGGTCGAAGAGAGGTGTGGTCATTGGGATGAGGATGTACTTGGTCATACTTGTAGGCTTGATTAAACTTAGGTAGGCGTCAAACTCGTTGGAGGCGAAAAAACGACGTGGTGAAGTAATTTGGATTTTTGCCTCGTGGGCCAAATTATTTGATATTGCGAAATTTGACTGAACTTGACTCTGGGTGAACATTTCACTCCCAGTTTCGTAGAGAACACCACGTACAGGTGTTCAGTCTTGCCCTCCTGAATGAGCCCTAGGGCGGCACATTGGATAATTGAAAATTTTAATTTTACCGTGCACGTCATGTCTTCGTTGATGTGGATGCTGGCGGGCCTGTAAAGGCCGCCCCCCTTGGATGGTGCAGTGGTAAATAATCCAAGATAATTGATCAAAAAATTTACCTGGCTTGGCCATTTGTCGCACAAAAGACAGTGAATCACTAACTCGAACTTGACCAGACTACTTGAAAGTGCTCGTGGTGTTGGTGTGCATGGACAACAAAGACTAAATTTGATAATTGAAGGTTCTGAAATGTCCCTTTGGCAGGCACTGACGGAGGTTAGTCGAATGTTCTGCGTAAGCAAAAATACCAATGTTGATATTTGCGAATAAAAATCAAAGTATGAGTGACTCTGAAGTGGAAATAGCAATTTCACATGTTTACAAGAAACTGATGATGTCCCATAGTTCTATCGCCGAGTGCATAATTAATATTTAACAAATTTGCTGTCAGTGGCAAAACATATCATATTGTACTCTTACTCGCGGGATCGGAATAAGCATTTTCCATCTACTCCGCAATTACTAATTCATACGACCGAACAGTGTATACATTGAATGTTATTCGTTCATATTGCAATTAATGCCTTCACTTTCCCTTAACACCTCACGAGATGATTTGGCTTCTAAACCAACAAGCTCTGAGTCTGGATCTCCGTCTAGACCTCCATATTCCCCTATCACTCCAACACTAGGAAGCTCGCGCTCAGCAACCAACAGCTTACCTCCTCAAAGATTCACACATACACAGGGCCCGCAAGTTGCGATTATGCCTCCAGAACCACAGCCCATTAATTTTAGTGAAAATGCCGACGTACTTGCCCTTAAGTCGACAATGTCAATTCTTCAGATGCAAAAGGCGACGGCTCTAAGAGATATTAAGACTCTACAACGTATGAAAGAACTTGCATTGGAAAACCCTGAGGAATTTGTGAAAGCTCTCAACTCGGGACAAATTAGAACGCGTCCTGATCAATTGTTCCAGCCAAGTAAAAATCATCATGAGCGCGATGTTGATGAATCGCTGGGGTCTGATTCACGTGGATCTCCTCAGTCGGCAACAGTTACATGGGAATTACTGCCGATACCACAGAATATTGTTCGAACACCCCCCATCAACTTTGCTCAGTATGCTGTGGTATCAGAGTCATTGGATAAACTTCATAGCGACCAGATCGCTAGACCAACTGAGGGCTGTCCGCAGCGCTTAGGACCCGGAGGAGTATACATATCTATCGGTGATGGTGACCAACGACAACATGATATGGGTGTAGCTGCGCCGTACAATCCACTGAAAGACAAGAATTTGCGGGCCGGCACAACTAAAGATGTAGGAAGGTAATAAAATTTTGATATCAGGATATGACCACTAACCCATATATGGGTTTCCAATTCTAAGCAAAGCAATAGTACATAGCGTGCAGGATCATCGTGCTAGAGGAGCTGAATATCAATAAATTCTATAGCCGTATTAGATTGCTTATTAAATTAAATTGCAACATTTTTCATCTCTATGCAAGTATGACAACAAACAGTCAACTGGAATAAAATTGAGATAACTCTAGAGAAATCTTCCCCAATAAATGAAATAACTTGTTGTTTAGATCCTTTTGTAATTTTGCATAATCTAGGACTCAGCACAGACTTAAACTTCAATCAATCAATGATAACGAATCAAAATTCGATCTATTATCGGACAAATTCGGCAACCATGGTACACCGAGATGAAATATTTTTACTCTTGATATCAGCGCCTATTAATTTCATTTTGACTTTAATCAACATAGAATCAACATAGATTCAACTACAGAGCTATGGGACATCATCAGTTTCTTGTAAACATGTGAAATTGCTATTTCAACTTCAGAGTCTCTCATATTCTGATTTTTATTTGCAAATATCAACATCGGTATTTTTGCTTACGCAGAACATTCGACTATCCTCCGTCAGTGCCTGCCAAAGGGATATTTCAAAGCCTTTGGTTATTGAATTAAGTCTTCGTTGTCCATGCACACCAACACCACGAGCACTTTCAAGTAGTCTAGTCGAGTTCGAGTCGGTGATTCGCTATCATGCGTGCGATAGATATCCCAGGTATGCAGAATTTGCTTGGTTGATCTGCCCAGTTCAAGTACCACTGCACCATACAGCTAGGGCGGCATATGAAGCGTTGTCCGCAGTTCAGTTAACCAGGACGTGACGCGCATTCTGATTTTTTACTTATCAAACTCACAGGCAGAGGGGGACTATTCTCAACACCTGTCAATGGTGTCCCCTACGGACCTCCAGCTCTCATTTTAGAGTCTACAGAGCTGAGATTGAATAACAAAGTCCTTAGTCCGATGAGGATTCCCAATCACTTTCGCCCTCTTTATGGTCTTCGTCTCTCAACACATCCCCCTATTATCGTAATCATGAAGCCTACCACAATCAAATCAGATATTAGATTCAAAATGTTTCTCATCACGAAGGAGAAGCCATCCGATGAGTTTCTGGGGCGTATCCAGCACCCGATACGGAGACGGCAGATTGGATCAAGTCGACCTCAACTGTTACAAAGAAGGGAGATATAGATGAATATGCGCACCTCATGTAGCCCCGGTGTCTAGGCCTCGCCTGGCTGGGGCTACAGGGGTTTTAAGACTTCTTCCCGCGTACGAAGTTTCGATTGCTACTATTTTTTAAAATTTTCTTTTTTTTGGGTAGAAAGTTCCGTTGAAAAGGTGGCGGAATTCCACGGGTATACACTGAGCTGGATAGCTATTCATCACGGGCAATATATCAATAATCTTATAAGTAATAAGAAAGGGTAGGAGCACTGTAAAAAGTGTGGCCTGGGCCAGAGAGGAGACCAATGTACTGGATAGTCTATGACTCGATTGGTACAATAAACATACCTCTCTCACTGACAGAACTCATATCTAATATCTTTTGAGATTATACTCATCTTTTACATCATTTTGTACACCTGTACTAATTTCCATCATCTCCATCCCAAAGGCATGTCTCCCAGGTTCTTGAACCACGATTTGCTTCGTGTGGTGAAAATAAATATAGGCAAATATTTCGAGGCCACTTAAGGCCAGCGTCTCATTTCACGAGGGGTGTAGTAAAAGAATCGATTTATCAGGTCATATTTGGAGACTCGATGAGGCTTCGATTGGAAAAAATTCTGTTCGACCTGAACGATCGATCTGGTCGGGAGTCTCGAACCATTTCCTCTTGGGCCAACTTCTTCGGTATCGCGAAATTGGACTGAACTTGGATCCGGAAGAATATTTCTCTTTCAGGTTCGAATAGGGCACCACGGACAGGTGTTCATCCTTTGCTATCCCATATTTGGCTGCAATTGGAATGATTTATGATTAAAAGTTCTGTAAGCCTCAGCTTCTCCTTAATTTATATGTCCACATCATATCTATCTATTCCACTAGATTTTTGTCCACTTTCTTAATTTAGAGGCTGAAAGAGTCTTCCACTATTACTTGCATTAGAAAGCTTCTACCTAAATTTACTGCTCTAAAGCCACATATCCTTGGTGTAAATACTTTTGTCAGGGGTCACAAAGCCTCGTTCTTGGGAAACTTAATACTGCGCGGCGAAATAACTTGAAATTTTCAGCCATTCGGATGGTATATTGGTGATTTCAAAATTGACCAGGCAATAGCAATATTCATGATTAACTACGTCATAGTGCTGGCCAATAAGTAATCTCGAAACTTCGACTAGGTGCGTAAGGGAAACCAAATTTCTATCCTACTATTTTATGCGAGCGGTAGCGACTAAAAGCCTAACCTATATGATTCCTCGATACCGGACATTATTTCGCAGGTAGGTTTGGGCACTGCATGGTTAGGGGTGTGAAATTAAGATCCTCATATACTTGAAATCTATCTGGCTGTATAAACTTATTCCTAACAAGCTACACAAGGATGTAGCTGCCTGCATTTAACTTAGCATGACCTAGGACAAAACCCACTCATTCCCAATTATGTCATGGAGGAAAACATTCCCATCATACGTTCCTCGCGATTACCTACCTCTACTTGTAGAAAAAATTTATACTTCAATTTCGTAAGTGGCCGTGTTATGTGTTCGAACTCTAAATTCGGGCTGCAACTGTGAAAGAATGTGGATGGACAGCCCTTACCATGAGCTGCAAGCTTAGAGTGGGGCATTAATGTAAACCAGCCAGCGATCTCCCGCTAAACAAAGGGGTAGGTATTCAGAAAATTCGGTTAGGATGAAGAATCTCATCAGTGTATTATACCACAGCACCATTCAGCCCACAAATCTTATCGGAATAAAGGGTGAGTTCCGAAATTTCGGGCGGAGAATTTGGGTGTTATTGTATCCTCAGGCACTACATGAAATCCACATTTTGTTGAAAGACTGTTACCCTTATTTGGCTCACTCCTAAGGTCATTCTCTACGCCCCTTCTTTGACAAGACTGACATCTCTATTATGATTTCATGTCTCCACCTCCGGAGAGTATCGTTCATTCCCATACGATGTTACGCAGAACCACGCCGATAGTGCGATGGCTAGTCGTCTTACTACTTCTCAGCATTGCGTACTTTTATCATTCACGCTTCGGCTTCTTATTACATCCAAGTATAGATCTTCTCCCTTCTAATTTAGCTGAATTAGAATATGTCAAGCTGTTATTAAAAAAGCATAATGTCGGTCCCATGATTGAATATGCTTCCAGATCAATTCACTACATCTCAGACGTTGAAGAACGAAAATCAATAACCAAAGTTTCCGAATCCCTCTTTCCTCAGTCATTCTCAAGGATATCTATTGCAGACCAAAAGGTCCTTCCAACTTCGAAGCCGCTAAACGTACAAGTCAAACGATCTCCACGTCCAGATGAAAGTAATGCCTCCGGCCTATTGTTTGGCGTCTCTACCACATTTGATCGCTTTCACGATTCTCGAACATCTCCAGTTAGCGAATGGTCACGCTGGCTCACTAATGGCCAAGGTGTTTCGAACGGCGCCGGCCTAATATTAGCCTTGCTTAACTCCAGCGCCTCCGACATCGAATTTGCAGCCAAGCAACTCGCAGACGCCGGTATTAATGCCACAGTGTTACCATCTGATCCGACGCTAGATATGCCAGGACGATATGTCGATCTAGTAAATATGTTTTATAATCATCCTACACGCGATCAACGCAGCTGGTTCGCACTTATCGACGATGATACCTTCTTTCCATACATACACCAGCTGCAAAATACCCTCTCTAATTATGATACAAAAATTCCATACTACATCGGCACTTTTACTGAGCGCATGGACTGGATGTTATATAACCATGCGCCCTTTGCCTATGGAGGAGGTGGTGTTTTCCTATCTTTCCCTACTGTCAAAAAACTAGTTCAATCAGACTGTCTAGCAAAAAACTCGGACGGAACGTACCTTCTCCATGCTGACCAAGGCGATCGACTCTTGTACAACTGTATTCATCAAAACAGTGAAATCACACTCACTCACTTACCCCTCCTTCATCAGTTAGATCAGTTCGGAGATCCCTCTGGATTCTATGAGTCTGGGAAGCAGCCTCTTTCATTACATCATTACAAGTCCTGGCATCAATTTTCTCCGCATCCAACCCACACAATTGCCGACGCTTGCGGTGAAGATTGCGTTTTCCAACGCTTCCAGTTCGCAGATGAATATATCTTAAGCAACGGATACTCTCTCGCACACTATCCGAATGGAATAGATTTTAACGTCGATCATGTTGAGCACACTTTTGATGCAGGCGAAAAGAACAATCCAGATTTAGAAGAGACGGTATTCAGCTACGCTTTTGGGCAGATGAGACCTGGATTAAGCAGAACAGGGAGGAAAAAGGCATGGCATCTCCTTGATGCAAGACGCGAGGGTCCTGGCATCGTGAAACAAGTTTATTTAAAACGTTGGAGTGACGATAGATGGTACAAAGAGGGAGATGCAGCTCCAGACCTGGATAGTATCGTCGTCCTAAACTGGATTCCATAAGGCAGCATGTAACGTGTACTTATCACCTCTGTCCATACACAACTTTTAATCACAAATCCTTGAAGGGTCAAAATGTTTGGCGATGCGGTTACAGGTGGGGGGCGCAAAAACTGGCGGAGTCCTTTTGCATATAATTCAATTTGTGTCATTTGATTTTATCATGTTAATATTTATTTTTATCAGAAGTTATTCGGACTTGTGCTCGCTCCATGTAGCCATGGTACTAAGCGTAAGGTTTTTATCGATAAACTGATTTGAATTTCGTGGTGAAACACTCCATGATCGTAGGGAAGGATGTTTTCGAAGCAAGATATGAGAATGTAAATAGAAGCTTAGTCAATGAATAATGGTGATACCTTAATTGCTGATATTTAGTATGTGAATTAACGATGCTTCCCTGGTCCTTCAGATGATGAAAACCTGATTGTTTATATAGGGCTTTTGATTTCTATCATACAACACATCATTCCAAGATGCCAACTTTGGGTTTGGTTTTTGTTGTATTACATGAGTCCATAATTATCTAACACATTTGGCTCCTTTCTAATCCAGGCTACACCTTGTATAGTTCTCCTATCCTCTTTAATACAAAGTTGCCAGGTTTTTCACTGGGACTAGTCTCAAATATGACTAAGTTAGGTAGATAGGGTCTAGACAGCGGCCTGCATATTTCGGAATGCAACCTCTCAGTAGGTTCAGGGAGGCAGGAAAAGAATGGCAATTGAAATATTGGTCTTTGCGGTGAAAAAGTGAAGAGACAATGCGCGGGGGCTAACTCTGGATATAACAGAGTTCCTGAGAATTGTTGGAGAGTTAGAGTAAGAATAAAGTTTTTTTCCTCATTGAAGGAATATACCCATAACTGTGTAGGTTGAGATGGATGGAGGGCATCTCGAGGCGAAAGCACGAGCCTCTCGCTGGTCCATACAAGAACAGGCGGAAGCAGCTATCGAGATAACAACTAGCTCGGCAGTTGGGTATGTAAAATCCTTCCCGTCACTTGCTTGACAGATTCATTGTCCATTGTGTCTTGCTCGGCGAACATTAATTGTGGGCTGCTTGCAAAGCTATCTCGTTTCCTGGCGCAGCAGGATAACCGTCTTCCCCTCAGAAATTACAGGTGTGGACTCTCATAAATTTCTAAGAGCTGGCAATCACTTTAAAGAAATATTTTTGAGCAATTTGAGCGATGGCAAGCAAAAGGGATCGCATTCCGACATTTTGCAATTGCCTGAGAATTCACAATGAAAAGTTTGCCAAAAATATACCCACCTATTTCGCTAGACAAAATATTGATCCGGTCAATTAGTACAAATGAAATCATCCACTATCCAGCTGGATGTCGTAGCACCCCAATTTCGGCCAGCATAGTGTGCAGAAATTCATCCATCAATAAATCGTCGCCTTTTCTCATGCGATTTTTGACAGCTTGATTTTAACGTTGTCTTTTAGGGATCCTTAGAAAGACTTTCGCTAGGGTTCCTCGTCCAACCTTATTCCTGCTCTAGTCTCTAGAATATTATTCCTATGTGGCCTATTCATCAGGACAGCTGGCTGCTACACCCAGCATTTCACATCTAGCTGTCAGAGCTCAAAGCCAGTTGATTTGCGGATGAAGCTAATACACGTAAGTAGCAAAATGAAGTGAGATGGACCTACTTGAGTTACCATCCCACTCTGCCTTGACGTTATTACAGGGGGATATAAGTGGGTCAACTTTATGTTTATATTTTTGAAACGTTTGAATCCAGACATATTCGCCGAACCTGAAAGATCCACCGGAAAACGGGCCTAGTCTGGAAATAAGCAGACGATGGAAGGCATGGTGGTCCGCCTCCTGATGGTGTTCTCTGGTAAAGTTTGAGTAGCCTGGGTACCTACTCCACTTGGGAAGAAGATAAATAAGATCACATTTCGTGCACAGTAAAGTAGATGGATGACGGAGGCATGTCTGGAAAACTCAGGGGTTTTGAGACGTTCCCCTTGGTGGGTATTCACGGATGAGGATTGACTTGGGGTGAAGAAAAAGCCACCATAACTTCGCAGTGGCACTTGCAAATGAAATCTGAGGCATGAGTGCTCTTCTTATAAATTGAGTCATCTTTTCTGCACTCTTCTTTGATATCGTGTCATAGCTAGATAGCTGCATACGCAATTAAAATCTGATGCAAAAAAAATGCCATACTGCCATAATGACTACATATGCACCAGCTACCAGATCTAACATACTACATAGCTGAGCATAAAAATTGTCAGTCTCGAAATATACGGAACGTTAAGGAAATGATAAGCACCCAGCTATGAGGGTTTGAAGCGCTCCCATCAAACTACTAAAGCAAAACCAAGTACATAATTCGTACTAATTTGTGTATCAATAACATGGCCTGCTTGAAAGCTGAACTCACTCTTACTTCTAAGACTATGAAAATATTACTGCCGCCCTCAGTTCGGGTCAATATCACAGGAAATCTAGGTGACCTAGCGATATATAAGTATGGGAAGATATTGCGTAAATCTGACATTGCATGAAAAAATCACATTACAGAATATCAGAGCTCTAAATGAGATTTTGGATAAAACTTAGATTTAAATTCTGGATCTACTAGCTCATGGTGAAAAGTTCCTAAAACGTCTTAATCAACTCATACACCATATGATTTATTGGAATTTCTGCCTTTCACCCAAAAGATTTATCTTCAACCCATGGGGTCCTATCTAGTCTAATTTCTTTATTCTTAATTCTCTCAAGGCGATTGTATATCCGGCACTTTAACAATAAATCTCTGTTTGATGATTTACTGCGATAAATTGAATTTAACCGTTTCATCACCCATTTGCTATCAAATGAACCCCTCATATGATTGTGAACACGAGCATAAATCTCCCATTGTTCCATGATTGGGTTTGTTTGGGTTACCCATCCTACCAGTCTTTTGTCTAGCCTACAAAGCCTCTGTTCGCTTGGTAAGAGTCTTTCATTTAATGTGGGTAGTACTGGAAAATAGATTGGTGGTCTCTGAGGACTTGATGAACTAAATAATCGACTTAATTCGGCTGATTTTGAACGTTGCTTCACAGTAATTGGGACTTCAATAGATAGGCTTTGCAACTGAAGATAAAAAACCTCATTTTGAGATCGGCTATGTGTGCGAGATGATGGCTGGGATTCGCTCAGGCTAGGTCTGCGAACTTCCGCTAAAAATGAAATGTATGCCGTTGAATCTAGCTTGGAAAATATATTCTTTGGGAGTGTCTGGCACATAATTGCCGAGGATGTACCTCTTTTTCTGATACAGATATCATCAACAGCGAATCTCTCAGCTTTCTTCTAGTATTTAGTAAGCCGTGGAAAAACATAGCCAAGTTATATATCACACTTACGGATTGAGTTCCCTTTGGACGACATAATTGGCTTCTGATATGTATTGATGGATAAGCCTCTCCTAGTTCATTGACTTTATTATCATTAACTTGTTCACCAATTGAAATATAGTCTTCTACTTCCATGGCCAGATCATGAAATATCATATTTTAAGGATAATGAACAAGAGTTGTTGCAACAATTTGCTTTTTCAACTGATCCAATAAGTATTTGGGGCAATTAAAGAATAAGATGAATTTAAAAGTGATGGATACGTACTTTCTGAGAAGGGTTCGATTCAGGCCATATATATCACTCCCGCACCGCAGATTGCATCTCGTCCTTTCCTAGATTGCGTCTGCCCGAGAAAGAAGTTGCGTTGCATCGATCAGACCTGACTAGTATTTCTCAGTTTATTTTGTTTACAGGATGCTCTAAAGAAGGTACGAACAGATGTAGAATGTCAAAATATTCTGATAGTCTCGATATGCAGACTATCTCATCCCAGTGGATTATGGTAGATTGCATAATATCACATACCCTGTTTGCCTAGCCAGTCCTACCAACATAATTTCTTGTCTAATCAAGAGCTAAATAAATAATTTACTTGGAAACTTGTTGGATATATTTTTATTCGTGACGGGAAAAAGCCTAGCACTTATGGAGCATATCACTGTAAAGGCTAGTCCTTCTCTGAAGACTACACACGAAGATAAATCGGGTTGATATTTGGACCACTCATGTAGTAGGTGCATTCGCTGATATCACTCGACACCTTTGTGTTTGGGACTCTCACCCTTCGCTCACCCCTACATATTCACCAATGGGTAAATAGGAATAACATTTCATAACCTAACAAGCCTTTGCCATCTCGTACATGGCCACCGCACAAGATATGACCTCACAATACTCCCTTTCTTAAGTGAGGTAGGTATCCAGGCTACCCAGACTGTAATTCGGGGAGACGAAGCTCAGGAAGTGGACCACAACACCATTAATCGTTGGCTTGTTTTTATAGCATCGGCTACACTCTCGCAATCAAAGGTCTGGCTGACATAATGCTCTTCAATTTGGAAAATCTCTAGCCAAAATTTGGATCTCACTCCTTTCGAGATCGTATCAAGCATTTGCATCATCTATCCACTTGTCCTAATCTCTCTTGATTCTATTCCACAAATATATTTCCCTGATTTTTGCACTTCAATTTTGGTTCTTCGGCGGATATAAACATCGGCATGGGCTTGTATGTTGAGGACAGAAGCTGATGTGACAAGAGATGTGGTGATTGAATCGAAGATTGAGGTTGGTTTGGCGGAGTCCTAAAACGATGCCTTGCGGACTGGCTTCCTTAGTAATCCGAAATTTGACTGAGATTGGCTCTAGAAGAAAATTACACTCCCAGGTTCGTAGAGGATACCGCCAATAGGTATTCTGTCTTTGCCCTCTAATTTTGGGGGACTGTAAGCTTATGTAGATTTTTTCATATCTAGAAAACTGAATATACCATATATTTTAAAAATAAGCCCATAGATGGGAATCGATGTGTACTGGTCTGCAGGGCGTGACATGTGGGTGCTTTGACTGAACTGTGTTGTAGACTAGCTTTTTAACTTATATAATGTTTAGAGTCCAGTTAGTGTAATGGTATTGATACGAAACATTCAACCGGGACTGATATATTTATATTATCTCTAGACGTGGTCGAAACTAGAGCAACTATTTAGGATTCTATCCAAATATATCTTAATTTGAATGTACAAATTTTATTTAGCTCATATTATAGCAGACAAATTGGTCGTTAAAAGGCTTGTGGCTAGCTTGTCTGACCAGTACGTTTCCAGAGTATGCAATAAGTGAACTAGCTCGAGTGTTTCAATTATTTTGAGCATAAATAAACGAAGAGCCGGCGTGCAACGATAGTTGTTTCGTCTCTACAAAATATCAGATAATGGCTAACACCATGGTGTTTCGGAACACTGAGAATTTTCATTGTCGCTAGGAAAATGCACACACAAACTCAATCTATTCTTTGTTTTGTATTTATTTAATCATCAATTTTTACAATGTTTGACTGAGACAAAAAAGTTCAAAATTAGTCTCCCAATATTAGTGTATTAAAAAGTGTGAAAAATAATGATATCCTAGAATAAGAAGCTGAAAATGACAGTTATTTGAAACGAGACCAGGATTTCAACCATTATTTATTTCGGGAGATCGACTCGTATTTTCCCTAAACTTCATCTTCCAAGTGAGAAACGTTGTTGCCGTCTAAATTTCCCTTTTCTTTGAAACGCCAATACCAAGGACACCTTCCATATGAACTCCATAAAACACCTTTTCTGGCGACTGTTTTTCCTCCCATGGGGTATCATAATACGCAATTCTCTTGAGGGACGGTGGCGATGTCTTTAAGGCCGTCTTTCAAACTTTTTCCATGGGTCTCCTGCATAAGATTATAGATCTATTTTTGGATAGATTTTTCATACTCTTTCCATTGGGTGATTGCTGATTAGACCCGATGAATACTCGTTTCTCACCGATTCGAATAATAAGATTGGTTGGACGACGTGGCCCTACCTGGCGGGCAAGCTGATTCCTTCGGAATGACCAAGTTTGAAGTTCAGCGCGCATTTCATCAATCAGTCGACCGTTTGTAGTTATCTCTTCATCCAGCTGTTTTTCTCTAACGCGTTGGCTCTGAAGTCTATTTTGTACGGTGGCTTCCTGCGCAGGATTGTAACATGTCAGTTCGCTGTGAGCCGTGGGCAGAAGCTGCTGGGACTTGGCTATACATGCCATTTCGTGGAACTGTTCTTCTTGTTCTTGAGGGCGAGTACGATTAGATGAATTGTTCAACGTGATAATTAAAGGCGAAAAGCTTAGAGCAGGTTCGATATTTTGTTTTGTCGTTGAACTCAACTTATTAACGTGCAGCATTATAGTGAGGTGATATTGCTTGGTAATTATATCCTAATATTACGAATACAATTTCGCTACGTAAAATTAACTATTGTCTCAAGGAGGTACCCTATGTTTTAAGCTGTGACGATGGCTTTCTAAACGTGAGGTTGTGAATGGACGGAAGATGAGTCAGGCTAGCATGTTGATCATGAGATAATTTTAGGTGTTTGAGTGACTGAATTTTGAATTTTTGGGGTGAAACAAGAACATAATTTCTTAGCGGTATGCAATTAGTAGGAAGAAAGGTCCAGGAACCCCACAAGTTGCCTTTAAATTGTACTTCTGTCACAAAGTAATGCGGTCACACAAAGTGACTAACACGCTTATGGAGACTAGATATTGGCAAGTGGATGCCACCACTTGTGTTCACCACATCCTAGACGTGACTAGGCCAAGAGAGTTTCTCGTAATTCAGCGTCTACTATGTAATCTAGCTTTCAGGCCACGCGTTATTTTGTCTGTCGATGTCCCGTTTAAGGGATCTCACTTTCCTGGTCGATCACGATGACTTAGCATTCTCATACACGTTCACGGAAGCGGTGGCTAGGATCTAACAGTTCAAGGGTCAAGCTCGTGCTCAAGCAGTATCTGTCAAGTTTGAATCTACCTGCCTTTCTACCGGCCTAGACCCTACGAACTCAGAGTAGATCGGAAGCGTCTACATCTCAAGACAGATTGCAGGTCAGAAAAATTCCCAGGTTCTGGCGCATTCTCTGGCTTAAACTATAATTTTCACGCCGAATATCTTTCAATGTTCAAACGGAAAGATTTGAGCTTATCCAATCCTGAGAAGCCTAATCTATGCGTAGCAGAGAAAGAGTTATCTAGGCGCTTGAGGGGTCTCTCAGGGACACCGTTAAACTGTATCTTTCGCATGAATTAGTAATAGAGATAATACATTCATGATAGAACTAGTCAAGTAGCATTGACATTTATTTAATTCAGGATTAATTTCTTCAGGGGAGGAGAGCTGGCGGTTGCAACTTGTGTTTTATATTTTTATATCTCTTCGAGTTTGACTAACACGAACTATGTCTCCCATGGCTCTTTTACAAAAGTATTACAAGGCTCAAGAGGTGTTTATCAGTCTAATATATGGTTTCGTTATCTCCAACTCTACCAAATATTGCCTCGCCGCACGAAGCTATGATGTGGTACAATGAAAAGGCAGGTAAAGCTTACTATTGACCCAGAAAGTGAAGGAAGTAGCTAAATATACAGATCAGGGCACAGTTTTGACTTACGGGAACATGTTTGACGATGTAGAAAATGATAGATTTCTATGGTCAAACTTAGTGTTTATGAAAGAGCTTCGTCTTATATTCACATCCCTTATATCAGATTAAAGCTTATCTAAAACTTGCCCGCAGTCGTCACTATTCAGCCCCTAAGTTGTAAAGGAAAAGTGCGCTAGATCAAGACTTCGGGATGAGACTACATTGCACTTAGATTAAATTGGGTGCTAGGATAGCAGTTGTAGCCATCTACGTCACCTTTTCTGCCCGTAACTGGCCAAAAAATGTGTTTCATTGTTGGCTCTTGAGTGTTGTCAATTAATGATCCAACATGCGAGGCAGTAAAGCTGCGGATAAAATGTCTATTTCGGCTAGTGTGTAAAATAAAAGAGCGTGTCTTGTAATTCCAGGACAATCTTGACCTTCATGCTTACCCTTTTCTAGCGTTTGGGCCCCTCTACCCCACTACAGGTGGAGCTCGAATACAATGGCTTAGAACGTTTGAACTAGATCGATTTTACTCGAAACAGCTCATCATGAATTTTGACACCTGCAGCCGCCAACAAAATCTACTCCCTATGCGCTGTGAGATTTAATTCTAGTGATCGAACACTGTAGTTATAGGAAATCTGTGCTGATGACTCTACTGCACAGCTGCAGACCTGCAAGCTAAACATTGTTATCCTTATCCATTTTATAAAGGATGTAGCACAGAAGATTCGAAAAGAATTAGCACGAGAGAATTTCCCCTGGAATGAATCGCCACCGGTATGTGCGGAGTTTATACATTTAAAGTCGAATAGTTTGGTTGGACGGTGTAATTGTCTATGTCTCGTTTGATTTGTCCTGTGGATCCCTGATGTTTGGGCAGCCCTATAACTCGGTTGGTGATATCCCTGTCACGATGCCTGCGAGATCCGACCATACCTCATACGATGATTGTGTGCCGCGTGGTTGGGACAATCTGGGGTAGCTACTGGTTTTGGGCACACACGAGCGTGAGCTAACCGCATTGGTTAGGCAGTCTAACCTTATCGTGCTGATTGGAATTAGGACCTTGATTGCCATAAAATGCTATTGAATATCTCAACAGGGCACTAAGCGTACCTCGAGTGTGGTTATTTCGATTCATCTAAGATCATTTCAAAACTCCCATCGTCCTGAGAGAAGTACATGAATGAAGAAATAGCTACCAGTGGTGAAATCACTAGACTCTCAATTTTTTGTGACAAATACTCAACACGATGACATTAATCTAATAATCGGCCATTTTCAATCCACTCTATGCATGCTCACGGCTAACCTTTGAATCTAGAGATATGGTACCCTGCCGACATGTCCACAGACATGACCCTGAGACGTTTGTACTGAAGCATCAGCTGTTCGACACCCGTGGACATGGGTGGGAGCTCTAGGCTTAATTTCGGGGTTCGACCATCTGCATTTTCTGTTTGGAGTGGGCATAAAAGCTACTGCTATCGGTTCCAGTCAACAGATATGCACAGGCTTGGTCTAGATTGCTAAAGTATTTTGATAAGATAGGACTAGATGGTGCAGTGGTACACCATTTGGACCGTTCTCCCAAGTAGATTCTAGGCAGCATGATTACCTACCCCTTTTGAGACAGGAGAAAGCTGGTTCGAATCCAGTAAAACCCACACAACACACACACTCTCTCGCGGTGATATTGTATTCGTGGGAAGATGAAAGCACAATCGGAAAAACGTAGGGCTTTCACGCTTTTCCCTGTGGCGGGATGGCACGGAAGAGGTTGTACGCCGTAAGGGTCAACCTTGAGTGGTATCAGCAAATGAAAACTGAGTGTGAGTATTCTAAATGTCAAACTGAGTCATCCTACTTAAAGTACAAATCTTCCGAAAAAAACCTGCAAAGGTCTTAAGGAGACAAAACAGGACAATTGAATTATTGAATTATTTATATATATTCCACCGATTTTGCACTTATAACACGTGACATAAGAAAACGGTCCAAGTATTGTGGTTATGAGCTATGCGAAAGCCATATTGTGGAATGATGAGGAGTGGATGATATAATGTTTAGAGGGTGGTAGTGAATAGACTCATATAATATTATGCTGTAGGTATTTGGACGGCAAGTATAAGACTAAACCTGTATCCATTTATTGTGGGTGTATCTATGAAACTACATATATGCTCGCCTAACCAGTACACTAGTGATGTATGCTGTAACGTTGAGCCATACGCGATGCCCTAGCATCGACAATCTCTTTGTCTCATATCATAACACCGAGGCTGTCACTTAAACAATCCGCACACATCATCTATCTTTACCTCAAACTGGGGCAGAATTAAGAGGACAAAACTAAACACTTGTCCAAGACGCCAAAATTGAACCTCAGATAAAAATGTTTTCTCCGACCCAAGTTAAGTTAATTTCCGCAATAGCAGAAGTAGGTTCACAAGGTCATGAAATAGGATACTCCGCTACATCCATATCTCACTCCAAAAGAGATTAATTCCCGCAAAAGCATAATCCAGTCAATAAGTATGGCCAATTGCATTTTTATTTCATTGACCACACCTCTCGTCGACCCTCTGGCCTCAGCTGGCCACAAAATACAAGCTCAGCAAATCACAAAGTGAAGTGCATAAATCCAACAGGTAGATCTATTTCACGCAGATGAGAGATCAGGGCATATGGAATAGATTGTGCAATAGTAAAATACAATATCTAGAGAATTGAGATTATCAGTCATGGCTAGTAGTATAATTACAAAAAGATTATTTTACGTGCTAAGACTTCGATTACGATAAAGTAGGCGACACTAAACACCGCCATGGTTGGATGCTACGGTGATACATCGTCTCGGCCGGTCGCCCAAGTAAAGTCTGGATAGCTAGGAGACATATCCCACTTGAGACAGGAGACTCCCGGCTCATATCCGGCAAAACACGACCACTTTTCTCGCGGCACTGGTGTACATGGATGACGAAGGCATCCTTGGATAACCAAAGATTTCGAAATTCCCTTTGATGGGTACTTACGGAGGAGGGTCGACTGTTTGTGTAAGCAAGCATACCTCACAGTGGTATTTGCGAATGAAATCTAGAGCATGAGTGTCCCCAACGTCAAGAGAATCATGCAAAAATAACATAAAGCACTGATCATGTGTCATAGCTAGATAGCTAAATAAACCTTAAGTGGTACATGAAAAAAGCAGGATTAACCATGAAAATGATACCGCCTCATATGCAAAAGAAGGTCGACAAAGATTTGTGAATAGTTACACCAAAGAACAAAATGAAAGATTTTCTGAAACTTAAATTCAGGGATGATAACATTTGGGAGGCATTCAAAGTCGAATTCTAACACTTCGCAGAAGCTGGTTTCGAGACTGCTTCTATCTCATTCCAGCGAAGACTTCGACTACACCCGAGAAAGAACGGGGTTTGAACTGAATGAGACGGAGAAAGAATAACTACAACTGTCAAATATTTACACAATGCTCTGTTTGAGGAAATACTCACGGAATAGACTTTGTAGGAAGTTTCAAACCTGTAATGAAACTTTTGATTCGTTCAAAATCCTACATCTCAAAAATAACATCACCTAGAGACAGCCCACCTTTTCTCTAAAAGAAATGCAATCTCTCAGTTAATGGCGTCCACTGACTTAGCCTCAACGTGCCTCAATTCCTGCAATATCTCCACCTACCGCTGATCATTCGAGAGAATTATCAAACCTATTTGTAGCGAAACC